GGCGGGCTGTTTTTCACGCGGGCCGTACCGGGCGCTCATGTTGGCGGGCCGACCCGGCCTGGACCACCCGGATTGACACCTCTAGGTCTTGGCTTACCATGATTTCTCTGGCACCAGTTCTTGCTTGGAAGCAGAAACCAGAGCTATTTGTGCTGATTTGGAGCTTTGTAATAAGCTGGTATTTAATCAGGCGTGGGTTGAGTTAGATTCATCAGACACCAGCCCGCATTCAGATCATTAAGAAGAAATGGAAAGGCACATGGACAATACAATATAACCTTGAAGTTGTCTGCCATTGGCAAAGTTAAATGAAAATCTCATTTCACACGTGGAGATAGGGTGACTCTCTACAAAGAGATGACTTGCAAGGCTTGCTTTCACATGCGCTTAAAGGAGAAATTAGGGCCTCGTTAAAAATGAATAAGTGGGATCTCTCATTTTTAGAACCTAACGGTTAATGTAACTTTGTTGAAATGTTTTATTGCTTTATTTGTTATTTGCTGTTTTGCATAGAGCGACTTACATAATTAGAACAGAAGTTGATCCTAACACTCCGAAGGTAAGGTTCTACTACGACCCCTCCGTGAACCCAAACTCTCCATAGGTTTAAAAGCATGAACCGAAAAATGGACTTTGCCGAAAAATATAAAAAAAAGTCCATGAACCCAAGATCACATTCACATCTCCATATTTAGACTTAGACAAACTCCTCTATATAGTAATGGGTTCAAGAATCTATAAAGCTTAGTACATGTTACACAAAAGAATCACATGGCACATCTGCAAGGTCGATTTGATAAGGAAGAATGAAAAACTATAGTCGTAATTGACTAGGACCAAGTCAAAATATAGTAGAAGAGTCTTAGCTTAGTCAAAAGCCAAAACTATGGCATAGTTTTCGCAATAATGCCAATTACGGATGCCAACTTTGTTGACAATTGGTGTGCTGGCAAAAAATAATTGGTTGCAAAAATATTTTTTTGTTAAAAATGTCCAACGACATAATGACACGTGATATTCTGTAAACAAAGTTGTCATCCATGATTGTACACCAAGCATGATTCAACTTTTCGAGCTCCTATAATTGAAGTCAGCTATAAAATGTCTAAAAACTAGTACCCAACATTTCAAAGATCGAGCTGGAGGCAATAGCGCAAGCACGAGTGCTTTCTGTAAGACTAACCAACAAAGCATTTAGGTCAACTGGTGAGCTTGATCACAAATATCTAAAAGTTAACACAGCACCAAGACGCTTAACTTGGCAAAGTCAAAATGGCCCAAGAAGGTGCTCAGCTTAGCAACATATTTCCCACTCAAGATGGAGTGAATATAGAATGTATGAGGCAATCACTTCAACCATATTCTAATAGTGAAGCCATGGATATTTCCATATAACCTTTAACCATGGTTTTGAGAATTTCCTCTCGTGTTGATTATAAGTATTTAACCTGAACAAAAATTAAGCCTTCGTTTGGAAAATTGATAAATGGTTTATGAACAGGAATAATCGTGGATCCCACAATATGTGTTAATAACATTGAGTAGCAATTATGAATATGCGATCCAAATTTTCACAGAAGTTCAGCCTAGAAGACAAGCATAAGTAGCATCAGTAACTTTTTGTCACATTAACTCCCTCCGTCGAAGCAGATGCATGTCAAAATTAACAACATAAAAGTGAACTTCATTCATCTTCTCTGAATTATTACCACACTTAAATGAACAAAAATGAAGAAATGCACTGGGATGGGATGTAACTATGCATTGTCTATTCAAATTTATGAACTCGATTATCATGGGGTTAATTTTCATGCACAAAACCTTGCAATTGCATGCATGCAAGAAAGGTAAGGTCATTTTCCTGAAAAGAGAAAATCTGGCCTGAGACCTTCAACAGTTTCAAAAGAAATTCAGAGAGATATAATTGAGCTCTACGTACAATAGTTCTCGAAAGGAGAATTTTTTGAGCTAAGGAAGAAAACATGAACCACCAATGAATTTCCTCCACGTTATCCACTTTCACATCTGAATCCATCCAGCTAATTGCGTAGGATTAAGAATTCCTGGAATGTGGGCTCCATCACTCTTCAACAAGCTTGCCACCTCAGCATAGCCCTGTGGCTTCTGCTTCCCACTCGGTTCTGCGTCAACATTCTGCTGACTCTGACTTACACCATGCCTGTTCCTTTTCGAGTCGGTTGAGCTCACAGGAACAGCCTCGGTTCGAGCCGGGTCAAACCTCTCCCCAAGAAGTGTTCCCTTGGTTAAAAACTCGTAAGCCATGTAACCGGCTAAAAGCCGATTCGAACACAACGGCTGCTGCTCGAACGGCGTCGTTGGATTCCCACTACTAACGACAGGATTAACTGTCGTTACTGGAGCTAACGGTTTTGATGACGTGGCATTATAAAATGCCTCTCTTTCTTTCCGCTTCCTTGACGGTACAGGCATCAACGGTGTACGCGAGTTATAACTCATCCTAGCCGTCTGATTATATTCTACAGATATGGAGAAAAAAGAATTAAATGCTTGCCACGTCAGCACGATTCTTCGGCAACAATGCTCCAAAATAATTTGTTCACAAAAAGGACAAGAAGTTAAATAATAAAGGAATCTTAGATCAAAAGTACAGAAATGGGGTTTAATTTGTAAAACAATAAATATTATAAAATTTCTTGAAAATGTTTAGAGAGAGAAACTGGTTAATATGGGGGTTATTGAAAAACTCAGATTTAGAGTGTCCTGGGACTACCGAGGATGGTGGATCTCCGAGGAACGATGGTGATGAGAGCGGTGGCGCCGCCGCGGACGGTGGAGAGAGAATGGAATGCTTAAAATGTTTTGAAGTTTTATAATAATAAAGGAAGAAGGAGCGGAAGGCGTGAATTATCCTTTTTATAGCGAGGAGCCGTATTGAATCACCCTTGACGTTTAATATAATTACTCAAATGCCAAATCGCAACATGTTCCCCACCTGTAAAGAGATCAGTGTTGGAATATGACAATATTGTCCTGTCTGTACTACACAGATTTGCCTTTTTTGAACAAGCAATACGGAAAGTGGGGGGTATTTATGGAATTGTGAAGACTGCCAGAATGAAGGCATTTACGTTATTTCTATGGATATGTCTATTAACTTTTAATTATAGCCATACACGTTGACATGATTTGAACATTATACTTTCTAGGAGCATTTACAATGCTCATTTTCTCTATAGAGAGCAAATTTTTTATACACTCCAAGGGTTAATAACCCCATTAGTCATTGAACTTTACCCAAGATTTCCATCAGGTCACTAAACTTCAAAAGTTAC